GAAGTGGTGGTAAAGTAGAGTTCATCAAAAACAAACATATGTAATATATTTACACAATTTGAATTGATTAGCAAGTTGGGTGGGGATAAAGTTTTAATTCAAAACAACATAGGAGTTCTTGATAAATGACCAGTCCTTAATTAAGCCTAGTAGATTCTGGATTCCTGGTGAGACAAAATAATTACAAACATAGAAGAATAATGTAAATACCTTACATCAAAATATTGCTTTATAGTTCACATAACACTTTGAGATAAATCATTCTCTGAGAGATCTTGTCTCTGGTATACACCAGCTGATGACCTTGGCAATGACCTCTCAGTTCACAGTTCTTAATTCTGCCCTCTCAGAGGGTGGGGGGAGTGGCCTGAGGTCAGCGTTCCAGCAAAACTTCTAGTTCAAAACAATCTATGACTCTGGTAACTTCTTTTATTTTTTCTGCTTTGTAGATTAGAACTGAGAGGAATCATGGGTGTCTTGTGATCGGACAGGATGACTTATTTGTAATGTTAAGAGAAAAACACTAATTTCTTCTTTCAATCCACACAGGTTTCTTGGGCTCTTGCTGTGTGTCAGGCATAATGCTGAGGTGAATTAGGCCACTGCCCTGACCTTCCAGTGGGGAGTAGGGTGGCCTACTGCCCTGGGCCTCCTGCTAAGATGGAGAAGGTCTTGGGCACCCTGGGACTAGGGGGCCACACCAAGTGGGAGAGGCTGAGCATAATGAGTTTATGAGTTAAAACAAGTGAACAAGGTAACTTCAAGTAGTGACAATTATTGGGTAGCAGATCTTTAGGATGATGCTATTGAGTGCATTTGTGGGTGGGAGTCTGCTGGTGCTTTCAAGGATCCCCCGGGAGATCACGTTCCTACCCAGGCAGGGAGGGATGAGAAGGGAGCAGACATGCCATGAGCTGCAGGAGCTGTGTTCCAGGCAGCAGTATGGCAAGTGCAGGCATCTTCAGAGGGGGAAGAGCTTGGCTTGCTTGAGAAATAGAATGTTCTGGCAGCAGGGAGAGGGGTATGGGCCTTGTGGGCCTCACAGAAACTCAGACAATAACAAGGATAACTGCTGTTATATTCTGGGCCCTCACTCATTTCATGACATCAATCTGTGTAGTTACGTATTTTACAGATGAGGATCCTGAGACACAGGGACTTGGGGTCTTATCTCACCCCAAGATTCAAACCCCAATGGATGATGTAGAGTCCACACTCGTCATCACAGACTTTGGTGAGGGGAACCCCTCTGTCAACATGAAAATGTGTCTGTTCCCCCACTCCCCATGCTCACTGACACCCACACCCCCGCAAGGACCCTCTGTGGGTGACGGGTCCCCCAGCCCTGCTCCCTGTGGAGCCAGTTTCTGCTTAGCCAGGAACAGCCACTGGAGGAGGACTCTGCTGCCTTTGTGGACTCGCTCCAGCGCTGATGGGGGTAGTTACGGGGTGGCTTGGAAACGGTCACTCTGTGTGTAATCAGGTCACTTGGCTGAGAAAACATTTCTGTTTCAGCTTCCTTCCTTCCCTGGGCCTCATCCAGGGAACAGTGTTGCTGACCTTCGGAGCCACAAAGGCCACAGATAATGGGGCACGAGCAGGTCGATGGAGTCAGCAGAGGGGGAGAGTCCATGGTGAGGATGCACACACACACACACACACACACACACACTCACATGCTCACACTCACAACATTCACCCGAGAAAACTGTTAGAGTTGCCAGCCAGAATCTCACATTGTAAAAATGTTTAGAAAAATAAGGCTAAGAGGCAGATGAAACCTTTCTAGTCTATAATTCTTTTTTGATTGCCTGGGATGCCCCTGCTGCTCGGGATCGGGCAGAGGAAGAAGGCACTCGGCTCCCAGCAAGTGCAAAAAATCACGCAGCTGTTTCCGGTCCCTTCTGTCCTCACAGCTCGGCTGGCGTTCAGCGCAGCGTGGCCTCTGTGGCTCTGACTTACCCTTATGGCCTCACCAGAAGAGCAGCCGGCATCGAGACATGGGTTTCACACTTTCTTTCCAGGCTGCTTAAGAACGAGAGAGATCTCTTCCTCCAGGAGAAAAAGAGTGCCTTCTGATTAATTAGAGCCAGAGATGAAAAATCAAAGTGACATGGAAAATTCAAAAGATTGGGATGTTGAATGCCAGATTTAAAAATTAATATGTAAGATTTAATAGATTACTTAGGCCTCATGACAATGAACCCTGAAAGATTTTTTTCTGAATCATCTTTTTAAAAAAATTTTCTTTGTCACGATGCATAAATGATGGGCTTTACATTCTGGGAATCAGGAGAAAAATGGAGAAGGAATGTCATATATTTTGTTTTAATATGTTCCGTGTTGTCATTTGGTTTTGATATTCAAATCTCTTTTCTTTGTAAATTCCTAAACCCCCCCCCCCCAGCATAATCATGGTTCTTTGACTTTTACAAACTTACTGAATATAAATCCTGTTTAATTGTAGCCTGGTTCACGTGCACTAAAGAGTTATGTTAGTAACTAAAATGCTGTTGATCAGTAACTGGAGACAGATTTTGCAAAGAAAGGAAGGTGGAAAAAAATTGGGGGATTCAGAGGGGAAAGCTAGACTTGATCTTCCTTGTCCTTCTGTTCACTTCTTCAGCTGCAGGTTTTTCCAAGTTATGGTGGCCAGGGATGCATCCCTCTTAACGCAGGGGACATGGCGGGGACCGTGTATGCTCTCTCCTTTCTCTGGTAATGTCTTCGCGGCTCTCTCTGTCTCCTCTGGACTCTCATATCAGTATCTCAGTTACCCTCGAGGGGTTGGTGTGCCACTGCGAGGAGCTGACCTGCGTTCTAGTTCCCAGTCTTGTTAGCTGTGTGACCTTAGCCAAGTTACTTAGCCTCTCTGAGTCTCAGTGTTCTTATTTATAAAAATGAAGAATGTAACAACAGTTCCATAGGATTGTTAGAATTAACTCAAATACTGTATGTAAACGTTGGGCACCCAATGTTTTAGAGTATTATTATCACTTTAAGTCTTGAGCTTTGGGTCAAAGTCAGAAATAAAGGATGTCGAGGCACCAGGTAAACAGTGTTTGGCCTTTATGGAGGCTTGATGTGGTGCCAGGTGTGGCAGGAAGCTGGGGGCGTGAGGCTGGCTCCCCCAGGTACTGGCTCCCTTGCCCCGTGTTGCCATGTGTCAGCTGGGGTCCCAGTCAGGTGCTGTCAGGCTTTTTGTTCGGCTGTCAGAGGGCCCACCTGGGTCCATGGATGTTCAGCCTGAGGCAGATCTTGAAGTTAGCCTAAAATGTCCCTGGCGGAGAGCAGTAGCCTCAGAAGTGGAAGAAAAGAATTCAGTTCCATTCACTGGGTCACCTGGGGAGGCACCGCAGGGAGGCCGTGCCCGAATGCAGGCCCCTCAGTGTAGACTTTGCATGCCCTGCGATACCTCACAGGCTTTCGGAGAGGAAGCTAAATAGGATAGTATGTGGGTCACCACATTTTCCTTGCTTTCATAATAATACTCCTAACCGGGCACCTGGGTGGCTCAGTGGGTAGCATCTGCCTTTGGCTCAGGTCATGGTCCCAGGGTCCTGGGCGTGAGTCCCACGTTAGGCTCCTTCCTCAGGAGGGGTCCGTTTCTCCCTCTGCCCCTCTCCTGCTCACGCACATGCTATCTCTCTATCAAATAAATAAAATCTTTAAAACATAATATTCATAATAATAATAATATGTACAGTTTCTTGTTTTCTTCCCTGGGCCCAGAGTTCTCCCACTGTCCATTTGCTACTTCCCAGAATCCTCTCTGAAATGCTTTGCTTAAACCTATGCAGTATTCAAGGTTTTTTTTTTTTTTCAATTTTTTCTTCCCCAGTCTCCATCCCTAATTCATGCACACAAACTGCCCCCCACATGCACGCACACACACACACACACACACACACACACACACACACACAACTTGTTCTATAATCTTTAGGGTCTTACTCTCAATTAGTTATCCTGAAAAATACCATCGCAATATTTCCCTTTTTTTTTTTATAAGTGCACTCTTTTTTTTTTTAAATTTATTTATGATAGTCATACAGAGAGAGAGAGAGAGAGAGGCAGAGACATAGGCAGAGGGAGAAGCAGGCTCCATGCACCGGGAGCCTGACGTGGGATTCGATCCCGGCTCTCCAGGATCGCGCCCTGGGCCAAAGGCAGGCACCAAACCGCTGCGCCACCCAGGGATCCCAATATTTCCTTTTTTTAAAAAAATATTTTCAAAAAGATTTTATTTATTTATTCATGAGAGACACAGAGAGAGAGGCAGAGACACAGGCAGAGGGAGAAGTGGGCTCCACCCAGGGAGCCCGATGAGGGACTTGATCCCAGGACCCTGGGATCACACCCTGAGCTGAAGGCAGATGCTCAACCACTGAGCCACCCAGGCATCCCTATCCTCACAATATTTCCAAAGCTGTTGGTGGATTAATGTAACACAAAAGCCCAGGCCAGGGCTCAGTGAATTTTTTCTTCAAAGGGCCAGTTCCTAAAGATGTAAAGCTTACAGGCCATACGGTCTTGGTTGCAACATCTGAACTCGGCCACTGTAGCAGGAAAGCCACCGCAGATAATATAGGAATGAACGCACATGGTTGTGTTCTAATAAAACTTTATTTGCAAAAACTAATAATGAACTTGATCTGCTCTCTAAGCTGTAGAGTGCTGCCCTCTACCACAGATAAAGGAATGAGCAGGGGGGGTGATCTCAGGTGGTAAGGCCGGCTACCAGCAGGGAGCTTTAGAGCAGGAGAGGGCTTTGATGCCACCTTCCCCTGTCTGAAGGTCCCCCAGACCCGGGCAGAGCCAGACAGAAGCCCTCGGCCTGCGTCCCCAGAGTTAGCTGAGCTGGCAACTGGCCTGGGGTGGTTTAGAGGATGGAAATTTCCAAGTGGGCCAAGAGCCTCCTCTCTGCCAAGGACTGATTCAGAGTTCAGGGATTAAGCCTCTGGCGTGGGGATTAAGCCGCAGTTTCACAGGCTCTGACCCTCCCGGCACCAGATGCTGGGCCGGGCCAGGTACAGCACGTGCTGTTGGCCCTGAGAAGGTCCTCACCCCGGGTGTGGCCATGAAAGGGAAGAATGAAATGAGGGGCCCGAGTTTTCTGCTTTCAATATTGATTCTCTTCTACTTCTGCTGAATCTGAGATGAGAACATACTTTGGAAACAACCAAGGAGCATGAAGGAATTTATCCCCAAGGCCAAGAGTGAGTAAACTGCAGAGTGTTAAGTTCTCAGTAGGGATGCAGAGAAGCATGGGCACAGACCTCACATTCCACCCTCGTGCTTTGTTCTGCTGGCTTCATGCTGCTGCTTCCTGTGTGTCTGGAAAACCACTCCTGATTTCCAGGTGCTTAGCACGCATGTGCCAGCCTATAGGGTCTATTTCAAAAGCAGTTTGTAGTTACCTGGGTCATGTTTGCACCTTCTGTTGTCAGTCATCCAGCAAACACTGGTCTCCGGGGGGGGGTTGGGGGGGTGGAGGTGGTGGTGGGGGCTTTGAACTCTGGAGCTTGAGGAAGACGCCTCTGGGTCAGTCCATCCTTTGTTTTTCACAGAGACAGAGACCCAGAGGGGGATGGGAGTGGTTCAGTCAAACACTAATCTGAGGCGCATGGAAAACTAGAATCCAGTTCTATGGGCTTCTAGTTCTGTGGTCCATTTGTGAGACAGAACTACACTGTTGTCTGTGATGATAAAGGTAATGGGTTAGAGGCACCTGTAGTGGATTTCAAGTCCAATCAAAGTAAAGTAAAGGCTCTTTGACTATGAGGTGGAATAAGTTTTTGCCTCACTCTGTAGCTCTAACTTCTTCAAATCCTATAAAAATTAGCTTTTGTTTCCTTGCATGGAGGTTATTTGTGTATACTCCTGTAGCAGTCGGGGTAGGGTGAGTTATGTTGCAGTGACAAGTGACCCCCAAAGTTAAGTGGCTTATAAAAGCAGAGTTGTATTTCTCACTCATGTTATGTGTGTGTTGTGAGTTGCTGTGTTTCTGCTCCCCACCTCCTCTCTCAAAGGCTGAGGCTGGCAAAGCTGCCTCTCACCCAGGGTTGGAAAACTCTAGGTGGTAGGCCGAATCCAGTCTGCCATCTGCTTCTGTGAATATAAATATATTTCATTGAAACATAGATATGTTTATTCACAGATCTGTTTATTATTCATAGATATGAAACATGGATATTATTTATAACTGTGTTTGCATTATACTAACAGAAATGAGTATTTGCAGTAGAGGTAGAGTACAGGCCACAGTGCCCCAAAATTTGACTTTCTGGCCCTTTACAGAACAAGTTGGCTGACCCCAGTGTGAAACATTGACAAGAGAAAAAGAGAGCGAACTAAAGGCTGGTTCTTAAAACTTCTTCCCAGGGCAGCGCTGGTGGCCCAGCAGTTTGGTGCCACCTTCAGCCCAGGGTGTGATCCTGGAGACCTAGGATTGAGTCCCACGTCGGGCTCCCTGCATGGAGCGTGCTTCTCCCTCTGCCTGTGTCTCTGCCTCTCTCTCTCTCTCTCTTTCTCTGTGTCTGTCATGAATAAATAAATAAAATCTTTAAAAAAAAAAAAAACAACTTCTTCCCAGAAGTGACACATGGTCACTTCTGCTCACATTTCCTACACTCGAACAAGACATATGGCCACTCTTGAGTTCACTAAAGAGGGATGGAAAATCAACCTATTTCAATGTGATTTATGTTTTATTTGTACAAAAGTGGACTCCTTTTAAATTAAGCAGAAGAAAGATTTATGTGAAGGGTATTGGGTAATCACACAGTTGACAGGAAGGCTGGAAAGCCAGGCTCCCGAGGGAAAGAGGAAGAAGCACCACAGTCCCACCACAGCCATGACCTCTGTGCGTCTTGCCCCCTGGGGTCTCCTGCACTCCAGGTCCTGCCCACTGCCCACTTCCCTGAAGCCACTGGGGGTAACTTAAAATTGGACCTTAGCCTGCTTGTCATTCTCTCAAGATTCACAGTGCTAGGTGGGTGCCACTTATTGACCACATTTAAGCCATAAGGCCATGTCCTAGCCACTGAGAGGCCTGGGATAATGAGTATGAAGGTTGTTGGTTTTTTTTTCTTCCCATCTTGAGAAGGCAGAAGGAAGGGGCCTTAATTATAAAGATTTATAAAGGGAGAGATTTCACTGATGTAGGACTCCATGCTGGGAAGCTCAAGCATCATCCATTCTATGCTCAAGTGCTGCTAGCTGGAGGCTGGGCAGGGTGTGCGGCAGAGTTTGGCACTGCTTTGGGTTTAACTTCTTCAGTGACATTTGGGCAGCCTTATCTCTCTGATGCTTCCAGCCCGTGGCCTGGAAAGATTGGAGAAGGGTGGGACAGCTTCTCTCTCCTGGTTGTCCAGAAGCCACAATGACACTCATTACCTGGACTTTTCCTATCCCCTTCCTCCTTATCCATCATTCCATCCCCATGAAAGACCTCTACCCTTTTGTAAAAAGTAAGTCAGAAATCTAGTCATGGTCAGTACGAGAGGGGCAGGAATGTATCAGAAATCAAACCGAATACGTTTCACTTTGTTGCTCCCACTAGGTAATTCTACTGGTGTGAATCATTGGGATTGGATTCTGTCCAAGCACTTTTAACCTCACAGGGTGCAAGGCAGGGGTTGTTTGACAAGCCGAGGTGGGGTTTGGTTTTGAAGGGGTGAGCTCCATGGATACAGAGCACGCCTTCAGGTGGGGTACACTGAGGTCATGCCAACCAGGAACCCCTTTCCACTAAGGGCCTCCAGTTTGAAACTTTGAGTTCATATCCAAATGAAATTATGTATAGTCTAAAAGATCGAACAAGAGTAACTTGTAACTTTGAATCCCATGACTAGACCTTGCTCTCTACAAGCTAATATTTCTAACATATCTTCTATGTGAGTAACCCAATTACATTGAATCATACTTTTTCCTTTGAAAAATATTGATTTGTTTGGTGGGAATATTTAACCACAGTTTTTTTTTTTTAAACTCTATGTTGGTATCTTTTTATTTTTTCCAGTGAATTTGAAGTCTCAGAATGTGGATGTGGCATGGAAAATTCTGGACCTTTAATGCTTCCCCACCTGAGAGGACTAAAGCAGACAGATCTGGATTCTCTAAAAGATGTGAACCCCAAAATAGGAAAAGCTGGTGTGACAATCCAGGGGTCCAGGATGTGTTAGAACTTGGAGTCATGGATCTAAGGACTCAGAACTCTTATTTGCAGGTTTGTGGTTGTGTATTGAATAATCGCTTTGGAACAGACTAATGGTCAAGAGCTTCCTAGAAGTGTGAGATGGCTTGTCACTGCACTTATATGGGAATACCTAACGGAAACTGTTTATAAGGTAGGTTTACATCTCTTTTGGTGATTTTGCATATGTCCAAAAAAATGGCTAAAAGCAAAAAGTACATCCAGCATTGGGATATTGCCTGCAGATTTCTTTTTTTTATTTATTTATGATAGTCACACACAAAGAGAGAGAGAGAGAGAGAGAGAGAGAGAGAGAGGCAGAGACACAGGCAGAGGGAGAAGCAGGCTCCATGCACCGGGAGCCCGACGTGGGATTCGATCCCGGGTCTCCAGGATCGCGCCCTGGGCCAAAGGCAGGCGCCAAACCGCTGCGCCACCCAGGGATCCCCTGCCTGCAGATTTCTATCCTATCTAGATCTTATGGTTTTTTGTTACGGTGTTGGCTGGGGGAGGGAGGCAGTGCTGTATCCCAAGGGTCAACATGGATATGGTGGCTTTGTCATGGCTCTGTAACATGCGATGAACCAGGGAAAGGTGGAGATTAAAGCTCAGGCCACTAAATGGGAGCCCAGTCTCCCTGACAAGAGCAGGACAGCAAAACAGGTCAGCAAGTCAAATGTCCAAATCAGATGGAAGATGAGTATAGCAGGTTGGGGAAACAGGGATGGGCAGGGAGGATTTTTCCCTTCTTCGGTCCCTCTCGGCTTTAGAGTCTGATATCACCATTGGATTCTGGAGCCCATCCTGCCCTGGGAAGCTTCCATTCAGCAGGCTCTGTTCCCTCTGCCAGTGGAAAATAGAGAGTGTCTTCAAGTTGGCAATCCAGTTTCTTATTGGGACCAGTACCCTGACACCAAGGTTAAATTCTTGGAAGCCTAGATCCTACCCCTTCAGCCCCCAGGTGACATCCTGGTCCAGGGAGTTGCTTATCTAGAATCTTATTGCTACCAACCAATAGCTGACTTCTTTTATCTCTGTGTCACCTTCTCTGGCATCACCTGCAAAGTCAGTCTTCTGTGAGGACCCAAATGAAAGTCAGATATAAGTCCCTGTAACTGGGTGTCCATATTCAGCTCTTTTTTTCTTTGTTCTGCAGAGAAACTTGACCAGGGAAGGAGGCTGAAGTTTTCTTCTATCACTAGTGTCTCTCCTGCCCAGGTCAGATCCAGAGTCCCCAAGAGCAGTAGCTCTACCAGGAGGCTCTCTTGAAATGATCAGAAGATGGTTTAGGGGGCACAGTGAAGCTCAGCCAGGCCTCTGATGATCAAGGGTGACTTTGTTCTCTTCATCTTTGTATCTGCTGCTGTTTGCTGCCGAAAATGGTTTCAAACCTCTGGAGTCCAGTCTTCCTTTTATAAAAATACTTTTTCATATTCATTTCCTTACAAAACACACAAAAAAACTCAATTTATATTCCACATATTATACATGATTAAAGCTTTCTCCCTTTATTCCTGCCCTCAAGGTAATTATTTTTATTGATGACAAATATGAGATTTTGGTCTCTCATTATCTGCTTCACAAAAGAGAGTACCCTATTAGTCAAATAAAATTCACAATTTTGCTTTATTAAAAGATTTTATTTATTTGAGAGAGTGGGCATGAGCAAATGTGCGTGCACATGAACCAGGGGAGGGGCCTGGGGAAAGAATCTCAAGCAGACTCTGTGTTGAGCAAGGAGCCCCACACGAGGCTCAATCTTACGATCCTGAGATCATACCCTGGGCCAAAATCAAGAGTTGGGTGCTTAACTGACTGAACCATCCGGGCACCCTTATAATTTTACTTTTTAAGTGACCCATATTCAGTATAATAGATACATAATATTTCAACATATGGTTTCACAATCATAGTATTTCAGAAGCTTAGGGACCCTCTGGCCCAACCCCACAATGTACAAAAGGGAAACTGAGTCACAGAGAGGAAAAGTAACTTTCCCAAAGTCATATCGAAGTGTGTCTTCACAAATGCTCTTCCTGCTTCTTGGCCTAATGCTTTTGCTACAAAGCTACTTTTCCCTTAGTGATCCTGTCACTTCCTTTCCATGGACTGCTTTGAGCTAAAGGATTATCAAGCAATTCTATTTTTTAAAGGCTAAATAAGCACATCCCAGTTGCATAAATTGAAGCATGAGCTAGAAAGTAGAATTGTGACGTGGGCATCAGAAAGACTGAGAGCTCCTCCTGCCTGTTCAGGTCTCTCTAGTGCTTATGGTGCTTCTGGGGCTGTGGGAATGTTGAGAAAGCCAAGGAACGGGATGGGGTAAGAGGGGATGTGGGTGTGCGGACAGGAGGGCAGTGAGGCAGCACAGAGCCCGAGGAGCCATCGGGCTGGGGGACAGCCCATGGTACACTTTAAATAAATAGTGCTTTTCCAATTGGTGTTTACCAATTCTTAGTTGTGGATATTTGGGGGAGGCTCAAGAAAATGTTTTCACAGCCCTTGGGGATCGTGTAATGAGAAGCATGTGTAAACTGAATGTTGAAGGAGCCACACCTGGGACACATTTGACCCATGACAGATACTCATGTGGGAAAAGAGCCAATGTTTTTGGAGCTGACCCATTTTATGAAAAGATGCCTATCAAAACAAACACAAGTACACAAACAAAGCAACAACAGCAACAAATACCGCAGGGCCTGAGATTTGGGCATAGTTTTCTGAACAAAAGACTCAGCTCCACCAAAGCTCGGGGAGAGAAGCCATAAAAGAAAATGCCCCAGTCTGAAGGAGAGGCCGTCTCACTTCGGCCTCATGTGCATCCCCCGCGGGGACTATCATGTTACCGTTTTAATGAAAAGCAGACACTTTAAAAATGACTTCATACCAAATGAAAAATGATTCTAAGCTGAGTATGGCTTGTTGGGGGGTGAGCATAGGACTCCCACAGGGATATCCGTGGTTCCTCTCGTCCCCTGGGCCCAGGGTTACCGGGGAAGTAGAGATGCAGCTGATTTGAACAAAAATGCCACGCCTGGAGGCTGCCAGCGTGCAGACTCTGCACCCATCATATATTTTGTTCTCTTTGCTACTCGAATGTGAAAAAGCAAAACCATGTACTGGTCCTGATTCAAGGGCTCCAGAGTTCTAGATTTTATTCTGTGGCAGATAGGGAGCCCCTGAAGGCATCCTCAGTCAAATGCTGTCCTCGACTTGGCAGAAGGAGCCCTTTGTGATGGTGTGTTTGCTTCTTCTTGTATTGTCTCTCAGTCTTGCACTCAAGCTCAGTGTACCAAATCCAGGTCACTGAATGTCCCAGAGTTTCTCCTACCGCCCCTTCCTTTCTCAATATTATTCCCCCTTTCTGCATGCCACTTCCACCCCATTTGCTTGGCTCATGCCTGTTCAAAAACCACTTCACCCTGAGTTCCTGCCTCCACCTCTTTAGTCATCTCTGTAACGGTATCAGTCATGCCTGTTACAGTTATGGGCTGGGGGAGGGATTGTCTGCATGATTCAGGGACTCTAAGTTCTTTGGCTGAAGGAAATGTGTTCATCTCTGAATCTCCGGTGCTCAGTCACTTGTACAGCATCTGGAACACAGTAGGTGCTCCATAAATAGCATTGATTGAGTGAATCAAAGAATCTCAGGTTTATGAGTTCATAAAGTGCCACCTGATTGGACAACTTTGGATACAGACATTGCTGGTTCACGGACAAGCCAACAGAGGTTACTGAATCCAAAGAATAGAATTCTGGTTCACCTTCTATGGTCCATGATGTCTCTGAAAGTTGTTGGAAACAAAAGACTTGCCAAACCAAAGAAAAATGGCTCGTTGTAAGCTCCACACATTCCAGAAGCTTTCGCTATCTTCCAGTATCTGGGTTCTCCACAGAACTCCAAGACAAATCACATAAAAGGAGTGCTATAGACTAAGAGAGTTCACGGCGAACTTCTCTGCTTTTGTTCAGTGTGGTCTTGAGGTCTATCCTTGGGGTGCTTATAGCCTAATTGCTAGTATTAGCAACCAAGTGAAAATGATGGTTGTGGGAGTGTCTGGGTGGCTCTGTCAGTTAAGCATCTGCCTTTGACTCAGGCCATGATCCCAGGGTCCTGGGATTGAGCCCCACATCAGGCTCTCTGCTCAGCAGGGAGTGTGCTTCTCCCTCTCCCTCTGCCTGCCACTCTGCCTACTTGTGCACTCTCTCTCTCAATCTCTCTCTGTGTCAAATAAATAAATAAACAAATCTTTAAAAAAAAGAAAATGATAGTTATCGAAGAAGTCTTGGGTTCATGGCTGATAGCACATTTGCAATTTTACAGCTTTATTTCCTACATTAATGCAAAGGAATAAGTAATGTAAAATTGTAGTCACTGTGACAAGATCTGTGAATAACACAGGGCTCTTAGGGTTGTAAATAAAAACCCATCCTTGACAAGCTTAAACAGGGACTTGGGATTTTATTTACTCACAGATTTGAAAAATCCAGAGCAAGTCTGGCTTCAAACATGAGTTGATTCTGGGACTTAAATGAAATCAAGACAGTTTTTTCCTGTGGTTCAATTCTGTCTGTTTCTGTATTTGCTCCATTTCCGGGTGCCATCTTGTGCCTCCAAAGCTCCAAGATCGTACTCTCTCAGTCCATATTAAATGTGAAAGAAGATAATGTTTCCTTCTGGAATCACCTACTCCAGTCCTGGGATTCATTCTGATCAGACCAACTTGAGTCAGGTACCTCCCTGACCCAACCCTGTGGCTCTGTGGGTTGGATGTACTGAGGGTCCAGGCTTGCGTCATTTGCTCCACTTTGAAGGCTGGGGGCAAGGGGTTGGGCTCCTCCCAAGTCACAGAGGATGGGGTATGACTCAAATCACCAAAACAAGGGAAGATGAATATTGGCAGGCCGGCAAAAATCATTTGTTGTCCATTCCAGGGACATAAAAACGGAAGTACAGTTTGATTATTCCCAGAGCCTATCAAAGCACAAAAGCACAAATGCCATGTCCTGACCATTGTCCAGGCCAACTCTGTACAAAGTATTCCTTTTCACCTGATACTTAAAGTTTTGGAGATGGCCCTGTTATACAGGGTGAAATAAGAATAAGACCTAGACCCTGAAGCACGAAGGTACTTTCCATATGCATGTGAGATG